GGGCGGCACAGAGCAGTCAAGGCGGGGGTTCCGGGGCGGGGTCAGGGGACAGGGAGCGGGGGATCCCGGGGGGCCGTCAGGGAACAGAGAGGTTTGGATGGGCCAGGAGTCTGGGGGGGCCGTCAGGGGGCCAGAAGTGGGGGGGGGGGCGGCCCACAGCCCCCTCCTCTAACCGGCCCATGCCCCCCTCCCCTAACCAGCCCTCCATACAATTTCCAAAATCCGATGCAGCCCTCCAGCCAAAAAGTTTGCCCGCCCCTGATTTATATAGTAAAAATGGAGGAGCTTGGTTTGCCAGACTGATCAGCAAACCAATGCTGACAACCTACGTGAAAAGGCTGCAAAATACCAAGCCTCTGGACTGCATTGACATGCAGAAAGCCTTAGAAGCCAGGCACTGTCAAAACCAATTTTAAGAAGTACTTAATGAGGCTGTTAAGAATGCTGGAGACACAACACAGTTTATGAGAACAAACATGGCTGTCGGATCATACTTTCTATTTAAGCAAGAGATACCACACACTACAAACTGGAGGCCAATGTTAAGTGCATGGTCACTTGTTAATCGTGAAGTGGGACACTGGTTCCAACCAAGACCGGCAAATGCTCACTATCCTTCTGCAAGCAACTCAACTGACTGGTTAGAAGCATGCGGTGCAACAGTGAAAAACTCAGCAGTTGAAAAAGTGAAGAACTCTCTCACCGCATTCAGAAAATGTGCATACATGGCTGATGAATGCACCAATGCAAATGGACATCAAGTATTAAGTCACTGCATATGTTATCTTGATGTCAGTGGTAGCCCAGTAGATGCATTTCTAGATGTTCAGGTTATAGAAGACACATCAGCTGCATCTGTGACAACCCACATCTTAGAAGAGTTATATGCTTATAAATTGAACCCTAAAGAAATGGCTGCTTGTGCATTTGATGGAGCTACAAGCTTCTTTGGAAGACATAGTGGAGTACAAGCTTTGCTCAGAGAAAAGTGTAACCCTAATCTCGCCTATACACATTCCGGAGGCCATCTACTCCAACTAGCACTAGTACGAGCTGCAAATCTTCAAAAGACATTTAAAAAGGCATAAATTTAATATCTTCTTTTTTTCAGCAAGAGTCCAAAAGGACTGAACGTCTTGGAAAAAATAGAAGATACACTGGGACTGAAGTTCAAATGAGTCCAAGCTGGAAAACCCGCTGGCTCTCTCATAAGCAACCCTTGCCTGTTGTCTTAAAATTACTGAAACCATTATTATTGGCTTTGGAAAGTATCCACTGAGATGGGATGGATCTAAGGCCTTGGCTACACTGGGGAATTCACAGCGCTGCCGCGGCAGCGCTGTGAAGCGCGAGTGTAGTCGCGCCGCCAGCGCTGCGAGACAGCTCTCGCAGTGTACTCCACTTCTCCGAGGGGAGTAGCTTGCAGCGCTGCGAGTGAGCGTGCAGCGCTGCAGGCTCTGATTACACTGGTGCTTTGCAGCCGCTCCCCCGTCTCCGAGGGGGGGGGGGGGGCGTTTTCACACCCCTGAGCGCAGCAAGTTGCAGCGCTGTACAGCGCCAGTGTAGCCAAGGCCTAAGTAGTGAGACTACTTTTACTACTAAGTTCAGAGAAAATTATTGCCATTCTCTCTCTTGTAAGTCTACTGTTGAAACCACTTGGGTCATTAAACAATGCCATCCAAGCATCTGCTACAACAGTAGTAGACCTTTGTCCAGCAATAGAAGCTATTTCAGAGATCTATACATTGAAAACGTAATGGAAGGAGCAAAGACTTCAATTCAGAAGTTGACTAATTAAGGCACTTACATTGACTCCTTAAGTGAAGAGGACAAGATGTGTTTGTTAAAACAGCTGAAAAATACACAGATGTGATTCTTACAAATCTACAACAGCAACTTCTGGATTCTACTTAACCTCTACACAGCTTTTACAGATGCCTGTCTTATAAAACACCAACAGTTAAGTGGAGTGAGGCACTACCAGCAATGGGACTGCCAGGTGATCAGGACAGAATAAAGAATTTGAACAGAGTGGAATATCATAAGATGAACAAATGAAGATTTGACTTCAACTTCTTCTTTATCATCACTAATCAGGGCCGGTGCAAGAAAGTTTCGCGCCCTAGGCGAAACTCCCACCTTGCGCCCCCCTCCCAGCCCTGCGGCAGCTCCCGCCCCCCTCCCCCCCCCGCGGCAGCTTCCCCCCCAGGGAGCCGTGCGGCAGTTCCCCACCTGAGCTCACCTCTGCTCTGCCTCCTCCCTGAGCACGCCGCCCCAGCTCTAATTCTCCTCCCCTCCCAGGCTTGTGGCGCCAAACAGCTGATTGGCGCCGCAAGCCTGGGAGGCGGGAGAAGTGGAGCAGCGACGGCGTGCTCAGGGAGGGGGCGTAGCAGAGGTGAGCTGGGGTGGGGAGCCCTGCAGCAGCCTCCCCCCACCCTGAGGCACCCCCGCGGCAGCTCCCCACCCCCCCGGCCCGGGGAGCCATGTGGCACCTCCCCACCGCTCCGCCTCCTCCCCGAGCATGCCGCCCCCGCTCTAATTCTCCTCCCAGTCTTGCGGCGCCAAACAGCTGATTGGCGCTGCAAGCCTGGGAGGTGGGAGAAGTGGAGTGGCGACCGCGCGCTCGGGGAGGAACGCTGTAAAAAAAAAATTGGGGACACCGTTTTTTGGTGCCCACAAATCTTGGCACCCTAGGCAACCGCCTAGTTCGCCTTAATGGTAGCACCGGCCCTGTCACTAGTGGTTCAACCCAATCTTTGTGCTATGTTTCCTGGGATGAAAGAAGTAGGAATCCATCTCTTGCTACTCCCAGTCACAACAGCTACCGTTGAGCATTCTTTTTCCTCATTGAATAGAATTTTCTGTTCTGAAAGGAGTCACCTTCTGCCTGATCAGGAGCATATCATGAAGGACTGGCAGTACCAGACACAAGAGAAGCCACCAAAGATGAATGCACTGCATTCAAGAAGTTCATTAATGAGCTGTGCAAAATTACAAGAAACCAAGAAGGATGAGATGTAATGCTTCATAGTAGGCTTCAGTAGCCAACTTTAATTTGTGTAATTTTAAAACATGAGTTAAATCTAATAAAATGGTCGTGAAACATTTTTCAGTTTTTACTATCATGCCATACAGCCCACCTTCGTCCTCACAGTCTTACCCCTTAGCCGTCACCCCTGCTGTATATTTGAACACCTCCCCCTAATTTCAATTCCTGGGAAAAACACTGACGGCTAGTCAAATGCCTCCCCACGCAGCTGTGAGGAAGTTACCTCGGAGGCTTAATAGTAGCGCTCTCCTTCCTGGCACCCAGCAGCTGTGTCCTTATCTGTCATTGAATGAACTAGCAAGGACTGGCATTTTTCCCTCCTCTGCAGCTCCTACTGTCAACTTCCTCAAGAGGACACTGTTTCTTTCACTGCTGTCTGCTGGGGCCTGAAATGATAGGAAGAACCTAAGTGCCTAGGTACTCATGCCTAAAGGGTGTCATGGAAGGACATCATCTGGTTCTATACAAAATCCGGCTACACGTGACAGGAAAGTGTAACGATCCTCTTCCCCTTCACCGCACATGACACTGATTTTCGATTCTCCGCCAAATGCATGGAGTTCAGAGCAAGACCGCAGGCAGCATGTATGATACAACCACGTGTATGAAGAGATATTGCAAACCCACAACTCCTGTGTACCGAAAGATCAACCCCACTGCTTAAAACAAAGTTCTCATTGTCCTTTGTGCTGCGATTTTCAACTCACTGACATTTGTCTCCTGAATTGGAATACTTTAATGTGCAATGGTGATAACATGAAGGAGGGTTTGGCAGAAGCAACACCCCCAGATAGCAATCTAAACAATCCAGCAACGTACCGGCACCTACTCACAGGGGGAGGAAAGGAACTAAATATTCTACCAGCAACACATTAACTACAGGACCTTCCTCCCTGGGACTATGTTAACATAACCCGGGATTAGTGTCAGAATACGCCGGTCCTCAGCCACAGGTAACGAGTGTAATTAAAGAATCCTACAGAAACACACAAATCCTATAACAACATATTCAACGGTTACAAGGTAATCTGTGCCTACCGCAATGTTAAAGTGCCTGTGCTGATATACTGCATCTTACAGAAAGCAACCCATGAATTGACAACGTGCGCCGGCTACGGAGAAGCCGGTAACTGTACTACGCACAAGCACATTAAATTGTTCTATTGTATTGTCGCACAGAGGCTGCCCAAGTACCCCCAGCTACACGGTAACGCAACAGCCGTTCTGTTCTACTGTGTCTGTACACCCTCGCTGGGGGTGACTTTCAGACTGCACTTAGTTGAATAGCACGTGGTTAACCTTTAGCCGGGGCAGAGTGAGATTTACAAAAGAATCCTTTACTAGCAAACACTCGCTGCTGCCCGTTTTCATGCACGCTCTCGGGGTGAAGCTGACTTTCATTCTCTCTCTCTCGCTCGCTCTCTTTTTGTTACCTAAGTTGGTTTTGTTCCAGCTTGGGCTTCTTGGCTTGTGGCTCCTCCGCTGCCATCTTCATGCTCAGTGTATCTAGCAGGCGCGCAGCCCGGCCTCGTCACGATCCTCTTGTAGCAGCAGCTCAGCTTCCAACCACGGCAACAAGCAGCCAGCAGCAGCAGGAGGGGGGAGCAGAGCGGGCTGCAGAGCGCCTGATTCAAGAATTGGTCAGGAGCGGGGTACCCACTTTTAAAATAACGTGGCAATTGCTGAATAAGTGCAACAGCCTTTATTGCTGGAGAAACATATCGCCTCGTTCTTTGTAATGCAAATAATGACCTGGTTTAAATTAACTGGCCGCCGAGGTCAGATGCTAATGCACGGATTGCCAGACTCAAAGCGGCTCCAGCGTGGCATAATTTCTTACAGATTCATAGGCGATTCAAACATAGTCTTGCACGGATGGAGGCAGTCACATAGACACCTGTGCGTGTGGCGGGGGGAGGAGGCATGGGGTGTGTTGGGTCCTCACAGCCATATTTGCCACTGCTTCTGGGGGAGTGGGGTCGCTGTTCTGAGTGTGAGCGGGGGCTCGGGATCTGCAGGTGAATATGTCTTAGTCCCAGAATTCGGGGGCGGATAGCTTACTGTCTTTGCGGGGGGGTTTAAAGTTAAAATGTTATTGTGATAGCTGGTGGAGTTGATACTTTTGGAAGAGATTGATAGTTCTTTGCTCTGCATATATTTGTGTGACCGTGAAAGTTCCAGGCACTCATCCCACTTCTGTTTCTCAGAATTTATTACCTTTATCTTGGTTAATGTTTGCAAAGTGTGTGGTGGCTATGAAGTGCTAAGAATGTATGTAAACAACAGAATCTTGGCTGTCGTCAAGCCAAATAAGGTGTGCCCAGGTGGGTTTTTTGTTTTGTTTTCTGTTGGGGGGGGGTTTCGGGAGAAATCGAAGGTATGTTATCTTTTGCGTGTCAGTTTCTAGTTCTTCCACTTTTGCTGGGTAATATTTCCTGTCTGGTTAAACTTGTTTTAATGAAAAATTCTTAAAACCCAAAGTCGTACAGAGACTCAGTTAAATTTCACTAAGTAACTCCTTTACTTTAAAATTTTTTTAAATACATTTCAGTTGATGTAACCATTCCCTTTTTCCCTCCATAAATTGTGCTGAAATGAGATCTAATGTCTGATTGTGTTTTAATTTATGTACTGAGCCTTTGGTTTTCAGATTGGATTTCACTCATAAGAATTATCTTTACTACTATACTGATTTAGCTTTGGATCCTGGAAGCTTTCTGTGCTGTAAGAGAAAATGAGTTGCTACTGTCCTAATACTTCTCAGCTCTTATACTTCAATCATTGTATGAAACCTCACCCCCCCCCCCCCCCCCCGAAGAATAGGTTTGTTTCAGAGTTTAATTGTGATGCTATCACTATTTTTATCATATTCAGATTCTCGTTTATGATAGCATTTTAAAAAACTATGAGAATAGGAGAGAGAGAGTGTGTGTGTGTCTATATATATATATAGAGAGAGACACACACTCTCTCTCTCTCCTCCCCCCCCCCCCAAAAAATTTGGGCTTAACTTTATAACAGACTACTTAAATTCAGAATCTCTGATGTTAACTATTTTAGAAATAAAAACATTAGACTTGTGTGGGACAGAAGTACATTTTGGTTTGCACTGTGCTTAAAAGTTCATTTGAGAGTTATGTGGCGTGTTGGTTTTGTTTTTATTGTCTGAACTGAGTGAGAAGTAAACGTGCATAGAAAAGCAAATTCTTTCAATTTTAATAGTCTGTTTCAGAATTCAAATAAGGACTTTCTTTAAAATATGTCTTTAAACTGACCCTTTCTCTAATGGCCACACCTGTGTGTATTTCACATAAGTAGTTGCATAATGGATCAATCTTTCAAAAACAGTGCAATCCGGAAGCTTGATATTAAGAAAATGTAACATTATATTAAGCAAAGTGGTCCATTATGTCAAGATCTATGGTGAAAGTTTACTTTATCATTATTTATAAAGCACCTCAGTTTTCTGGGCCCATTATAGATCACTAAATACATGTCCCCTGCACTGCAAAGGTTTTAGTCTACATTTTATATACATCTGAATAAGTGTTATGGGCAATGGCATGAGAACAAGAAGATGGGAGAGTAGTTACAATAGTAAAGTCATGTGGTTAGCTAGGTTTATTATATCTTTTTAGTGGTTCTAAGTAACTTTTTGGCTTTGCCTTTAGTTGTTTATGAACAGTCAGGGGAACAATATCTTGTTGGTAACACTCGGTTTCTCTGAAGCTTTTTCTATGCTAGGAAATTTAACAGGTGCTGGTAATTTGTCAGCAATTGGTGCAATTGAAAGTAGCTTAACTGCAAGTGGATCTTGCATATGCTTGGGGGAACTTTCTGAAGATTTCCTATCCTTACTAACATCTGTTTAATTTCATCGATGTTGGGAGCGCTAGTATATACAGCTCAGTTTTTAGTAGCCCTTTTCAGGACCATGAGAGGCTTGCTCTGAGAAGATTTAATTGATGGATGTAAAAAAGCTCCTAGCACCTTGCCTGTCATTAGTGTTCCCAGCAGGGCAGTTTTCACCAGTAGTAGCACCAGTAAGAATTTTTTGTAATAGTCCCTCATGTACACACAGCCTTAATACTAGTTTCAAAGTCCGCTTTCTCCATGTTTAGTCCCTTTTCTGTTGTTGCTTTGTGTTCAATCCCAGTTGCCCCAACTGGCTCCAGCTCAGAGTGGGTACCTGCTGTACTCTGAGCTGAATGTGCAGATGTTAAGAGACAGTTGTTCATCCATAAACTTGCAGTCTAAGAAAAAGGCAGGGGGAAAAAAAGATGATTGATTCCTATATTACACACACAGAACTGAGGCACTAAGTGACTTGCTGACAATCACACAGTCTGTAGAAGAGCTGGGAATGGAACTCGCGTTTCCTGAATCCCAGAGCCTTGACCACAAAACTGTCCTTCCTCTGTTTTGCTTACACCAAGGGTTACTTGTATTAGTAAGCAGCCATGTTATTGTCGGTCACTATAACATATGCCAACAGCCAACCCTTTGTCACTCTTTGGCCTGGTCCACACTAACCCCCCACTTCGAACTAAGATACGTAACTTCAGCTACGTTAATAACGTAGCTGAAGTCGAAGTACCTTAGTTCGAACTTACCGCGGGTCCAGACGCGGCAGGCAGGCTCCCCCGTCGACTCCGCGTACTCCTCTCGCGGAGCAGGAGTACCGGCGTCGATGGCGAGCACTTCCGGGATCGATTTATCGCGTCTAGACAAGACGCGATAAATCGATCCCAGAAGATCGATTGCTTACCACTGGACCCGGAGGTAAGTATAGACGTACCCTTTAACATGTACTTTTTCTCCCTCTTCTGTTGAGCTGAATACACCACTGTTGTGATTCTCAGTAGTGCTAATCTTTAAAGTGGCAGTGAACCTTTCATCCCATCTATCTACTTAAGGGGTTACTGTTACTTGTTCTAATTAATTAAAGGAACAGTATCAGCATACAATGTAGTCATTTTAGTTTTTTATATATATATAAAAATATAAAGGAGTTACACCTGCTCCTGAGTCTCCCTGCCAATTTTTAGTTTTTGTAACATTTTAAAGCGAGTGTTCTCTCCCCTGTTTCTAGGCCCATACAAATGAAGATAAAAATTTACTAGTCAAAGTACTGCCCTGTGCATAAACCAAGCAAAGTATTCATTAAGATGACTAATAGAAATTTTATCAGTTGTTCTTTTTCAGGTATTACTTGTAGCAACATAGTAGGGCTGTCGATTAATAGCAGTTAAGTCATGTGATTAACTCAAATTAATCACAATTTTTAAAATTGTGATTAATCACACTGTTAATAGAATACCAATTTAATTTTATTAAATATTTTTGGATGTTTTTCTACATTTACAAATGTATTGATTTCTATTACAACACAGAATACAAAGTGTACACTGTTCACTTTATATTTTTATTACAAATATTTGCACTGTAAAAATGATAAACAAAAATAGTATTTTTCAATTCACCTCATACAAGTACTGTAGTGCAATCTTTTTATCGTGAAAGTGTAACTTACAAATGTAGATTTGCTACATAACTGCACTCAAAAACAAAACAATGTAAAACTTCAGAGCCTACAAGTCTACTCAGTTCTACTTCTTGTTCAGCCAACCACTAAGACAAACAAGTTTGTATACATTTACGAGAGATACTGCTGCCTGTTTCTTATTTACATCACCTGAAATTGAGAACAGGCATTCGTATGGCACTTTTGTAGATGGCGTTGCAAGGTATTTATGTACCAGATATGCTAAACTTTCATTTTCTCCTTCATGCTTCGGCCACTATTCCAGAGGACGTGCTTCCATGCTGATGCTTGTTTAAAAAAAAGCGTTAATTAAATTTGACTGTACTCCTTGGGGGAGAATTATGTCTCCTACTGTTTTACGCGCATTATGCATATATTTCATGTTATAGCAGTCTTGCATGATGACCCAGCACATGTTCGTTTTAAGAACACTTTCACAGCAGATTTGACAAAATACAAAGAAGGTACCAATGTGAGATTTCTAAAAATATCTACAGCACTTGACCCAACGTTTAAGAATCTGAAGTGCCTTCCAAAATCTGAGAGCAACAAGGTGTGGAGCATGTTTTCAGAAGTCTTAAAGGAGCACACTCCAATGCAGAAACTACAGAATCCGAACCACCAGCAAAGAAAATCAACCTTCTGCTGGTAGAATCTGACTGAGATGATGAAAATGAACATGCGTCGGTCCGCTCTGCTTTGGAATGTTATCAAGCAGAACCAATCATCAGCATGGACACGTCCTCTGGAATGGTGGTTGAAGCATGAAGGGACATATGAATCTTTAGCACATCTGGCACGTAAATATCTTGCTCTGTACACTTTGTATTCTGTGTTGTAATTGAAATCAATATATTTGAAAATGTAGAAAACATCCAAAAATACTTAAATGGTATTCTTATTGTTTATCACACAATTAACTTGTTTATCACTTGCCAGCCCTAAAAAAAGTCTTTTAAAATGTTGAATATAAAGCAATTTAACAGTAAAGAGAATCTTTTTACTGAATCACTTATGTACATGGAGAGAAAAATGGAACCTTTAAGTTAATAATTCATTTGCATTACTAACCATTTAAATGCAACGCACTATGAATTTTATAAAGACAACAAGAGTAGCCCAAGAGCCAAAAGCCAATTTAAGAGGCAGGCTTTTTTCTCTCTCTTTTAAAAAGCTTATGGAGGAAGAAGCTGGCTGAGTGCAGGATACATAATGAAAATATATGTTAATACAGGGTGGTGTAAGGTATTGGAGGAAGGAAAAGCCACTCTGCATGCAAAATAGAAGTAAAACAAGTAAATTACAAGTGCAAACACTAAAACTGGTAGATACATCTGAAGTCTTTCACTTTGTAACAGAAAAATAATCTTGTTTATAGTAACAGGCTAAGAACAGTATACAACCTCTTCCATTTACCGAAACAGAACTCAAATGGTTTTGACTCTAAAAATCAAGGATTTAATCTGTAATATG